AAATTCAAACAGACGCCAAAGTATTTGTGGTGTTACCAGGTGCCGGTACAACCGCCTGGAATCGCCGCCGACTGACGCAGACCTTGGGCCTCCTCCTCCTCCTCAAGTTTGAGCGCGAGTAGACGGGGTGGAGGAGTCTGCAGGTTGCAGCGTTAGAGGAACCCCCCCTGCCCCAACTCCCAGTCAACAATCTTGAAAGCGACGGGTGGCACAGGAGCTGCGCTGTTACCAGGAGGTGCGTTCACTGCCTGGGTTCTCACGACGACGCCCCAGACATCTGCACGCCCTCCACTCCGCTTGCACAACACGAAGCCGCGTGGAGTTGAACCGAGACATCAAGACGCAGACCTGGCTCCCTGTCCCGTCACTGCCTGGGATCTCTGCCCCGTTGGTGCTTCCTTTCGTTGGAGCTGTACCGAGATGTTTGAGCGAGAGTAGACCAGGGAGAGGATTCTGGAAGATAAACCGTTAGGACACCCACCCCCCCAACCCACCCCCAGCAGAAATTTGAGTGCAGAAGCAACGTCTGTAGTGAAAACAAACTTGAACAGGTGGCAAAAGAGTTGCGCTGTTACCAGGTTCCATGGAAACTGCCTGGATTCTCCCGACGAAGCCCTGATATTCCCACTTCCTTCACGGGACGCACGAGAGGGTTTGCGTGGAGTTCGAACCGAGAGAGACGTCTGTGTAAATGGGACTTGGGGATCTTGTGACTGCCTGGATTCACCGATGATCTCTCTTCCCGCTCTTTGCCGGCGTCGCGAGGACGCACGAGACGTGAGGGATTCTGGAAGATAAAACGTCAGGACCCCCCCCCCCCCCCCAACTCCGATACGAACGCAAAGCCTGAAGTAGTCGTTGACGATGCCAATGGCAACGGCGTTTTAACTTTACCAGGTGTCCCATCACTGCCTGGGATCTCTGCCCCGTTGGGGTTCGAACCCAAGAGACATCTGCGTGAGACAGACTTGGGCTCCTGTAACCGCCTCGATTCACCGATGATCTCTCTCTTTGCCGCTGTTGATGTGAGCAAGCCGAGATACGAGGGAGTCTGCAAGACACGGCGTTAACACCCCCCCCCCCCCAGTCCCGCACCTCTGACTCACGACACACGAACACAAATTCCGTAGAAAAACGGCGACGTTTGTAAAGGCAATGGATTCGTGCCAGAGGATTTATTCCGTAGTCACCAGGTGCCCCAGACAGCGGCCTGGATTCTCCGACGACAACGCCCAGACATCGGCGCACGACGGACACACACACTCACACGCACGAGGGTTTGCGCGCAGTTCCAAGCGAGAGCGACGTCCGTGTGAATCAAACTTGGTGGTGCTCCTGCCACCGCCTGGGTTCACCGACGATCCCTCTCTGCTGCTGCTGCTGCTGCTGCCGCGAGCACGCAGGAGACGCGAGGGAGTCTGCAAGACACGGCGTGAACACAGCAACCCTCCCCACCCCCCTTCCTCCTACCCGGCCCCAACTCACGACGTGAGAACGCTAATTCTGTGGCAACGCAACGTTTGTAAAAGCGTAACAAGAGTTAAATTTCGATTTAAAGATTTCGTGACTGCAGCAGGGATTCATCTTCTTGGTTCTTTCGGTAAAGTCATCACGTAGAAGAGGAATAATAAAATAATAATAATACAATTAATTAATTCACGACGTTTCGGCCACAACGCATTCAGACTGTCTTCTCGACAGACCTGTTCTCCACCTGAGGACGGCTGCTTGCGTTGTGGCCGAAATGTCGTGAGAATTATTTTATGTTTTATTTTTATTATTTCCATTCTACGTGATGACTTTACCGAAACAACCAAGAAGACGTAACAGAGTTGTTGTTGTTGTTGGGTTGGATCTCGTGAATATATTAAATGTGTCGTTGAAACCCGCCACCACCCGACACGGCCAATTGGGTAAGGTTTGTCGCGTGAACAAGACGTGCCAATTCGTCACTAGTTCTAGCACAAAACCAACATCTTATGTAGAGTGGTTGCAAAAAGCCCCCTGCTGCTGCTGCTGCTACTTGTTAAACGATGCCACGGCCTCCTACAGAGGCAAGCCACTCACCACCCCCTGGTTATCACCACCACCACAATCACCTCCACCACTACAATCATCCACAAGGCAACGATGGAGACACGAGAGGGTTTGCGTGCGTGAAAAGAGACCTGGGCTCCTGTAACCGCCTGGATTCGCCCATCAACTCTGTCAACTCTCTCGCTCTTCCCCCCACCCCGTTGCAGTTCTTGCTGTGAGCACGCAGGAGACGCGAGTCTGCAAGACACGGCGTTAACACAACACCCACCCCCCCTTCCCCGCCCCGTCAACTCCCGACATACGAACACAAATAAAATAACAAAAACTCACGTGTTAAAAATTAACCCGTAAAAACAAAGTTTTTCACTATAAATCCTTTATATGCGTGGCGGCTAGAGTCCTCTCGTCCGCTGGCTTGAGATGGCTGCCACCTATGGGTCAGATGATTGCCTGCCACCATTAAGCAATTGGTAATTAAATATAATAAAAAATACATTTCCTATAAAGTGGAAAGTTCCGGAAATTTTTTTCACGAAAATAAATTGTCACGCACAACGAGTCTGTGTGCAAAATGTCAGCCCGATTGGATCACGGGAAGTGGGTTAAAAAACGACCGAAAGATTTGCACGGTCGTAAGCGCGCAAGCAAGTGAACTTAATATAAAGGATTTAAAAAAGCGCTATATTTGGGCAGAGAAGATTTGTGGTGTTTACCAGGTGCCACGGAAACCGGCCCGAATTCTCCGCGACGAAGCCCAGACACCTTCACGGGACGCACGAGAGGGTTTGCGTGGAGTTGGAACCGAGAGAGACGTCTGTGCAAATGGGACATGGGGATCTTGCGACTGCCTGGATTCACCGATGATCTCTCTTCCCGCTCTTTGCCGGCGTCGCGAGGACGCACGAGACGCGAGGGATTCTGGAAGATAAAACGTCAGGACTCCCCCCCCACCCCCAACTCCGATACGAACGCAAAGCCTGAAGTAGTCGTTGATAACTTGAATGGCAACGGCGTTTTAACTTTACCAGGTGTCCCGTTAGCGGCCTGGATTCTCCCGACGACGCCCCAGACATCTGCACGCCCTCCACTCCGCTTGCGCAACACGAAGCCGCGTGGAGTTGAACCGAGACAGAGACGCAGACCTGGCTCCCTGTCCCGTCACTGCCTGGGATCTCTGCCCCGTTGGGGCTTCCTTGGTTTGGAGCTGTACCGAGATGTTTGACGTTTGAGCGAGAGTAGACCGGGGAGAGGATTCTGGAAGACAGAACGTTAGAGACCCCCCCCCACTCCCCCTGACACAAACACAAGGCCTGTAGCAGCAGTAGCAGCGAGGCAAATGTGAACGTCAAAGTGTTGACGGTGTTACCGGGTCCCGTTAACCGCCTGGAATGGCCGATGACAGAGGAGCAATTTGCGCTTCCTTCCCTGTTGCTCTCCCCCCTTGTACGATGTCGCGAGGTTGCTTGGGAGTTGCACAGAGAACGCGTGGAGTTGCACTGGAGTTGCGAGGAGTTGGAGCAAGGTTGCGTGAAGGCGTTCTGAGGTTACGTAGAGTTGCAGCGAGGTTGTGTGGAGTTGCACTGAGGAAGTTGCGTGGAGTTGAACGAGACGTCTGCGCTAGGCACAACTGCTGGGGTCCTGTAACATAGAACGTTAGGAGCCCCTCCCCCCTCCCCCACCCCAGATCCACAAGGGCCAACACTGCACACTGCTTGCTAGCAATGTCACCATCAACGCCCTTTGCTGGCTTAGGGAAATATTCAGGACGGCCGTAAGAAAACACCGATTTAAATCTTCAGGTCACATTTCGTAAACTTGACGCTGTGGTCATTTGCTAATAAAAGTGTCAAGTTTTGCCTCGTTTAAAACTTTCACAAAGTCCTGCCTGACAACTTTTCCCCGCGTGGCCGATTACGAAAAGCAAAACATAATAGGGGTTTTTCCCCTCCGATGTTCTGAGGTTACGTAGAGTTGCATCGAGGTAACTACAAATCCTGTAGTAAGTAGCAGCAAGACAAACTCCAACGCACGGCCAAAGGAGTTGCGGTGTTACCAGGAAATCCGCTGTCTGGGTTTTCCCGACGAATGTCCCAGAGTTCAAACCGAGAGAGACGTCTGTGTAAATGGGACTTGGGGATCTTGCGACTGCCTGGATTCACCGATGATCTCTCTTCCCGCTCTTTGCCGGCGTCGCGAGGACGCAGGAGACACGAGGGATTCTGGAAGATAAAACGTCAGGACCCCCCCCCCCCCCCCAACTCCCATACGAACGCAAAGCCTGAAGTAGTCGTTGATAATGCCAATGGCAACGGCGTTTAACCTCAAGTAAAACATCCACATCGCTCGTTTGGTAAGGCCGAGGATCGGGCCGGAGACTCGCACGGTTACCTGGGTTGAGAACTCGCCCAGACATCTCTCTCAAAGTTGGGGGTGGCAGGAACGGATGCCAGCGTGTCTGATTCCCCATCACCACCACCATCCGCTCAGCCTTGACAATAATAAAACACAACCTCCATGATGCTCACGCGTGGCTACAGAGCACGGCTCATTGCCATTGATCATAAATAATGCTGCTGCTGCTGTGGGTAGCGAGAGACATTGACACTCCCTGATGGACGCTGTTGGTTGTCTCTGGCCCCTCCTGTCCAGGACTGGGTTGTAACAGCTGCAGGGGGTTGCGCATCTCCCATTCCGCCCATCGCCACCACCGCCATCATCCGCTCAGCCTTGACAATGATAAACACAACCTCCGTATGTCCACGTGTGGGCTACACAGCCAAGGCTCATTGCCATTGATAAATAAAGTTGCTGTGCGGGAAGGACAAGAGTCATTGACACTCCCTGGTGGATGGTAATGGCCGTACGGCTTCTCCCCCCTTCCACCCAGGGCTGGGTTGGTGTTGTACAGCAGTGCGGCTGCTTGCTCTGTGCGACAGCTTGCGTTTCACATTCACCACCACCACCACCTGCCGAGCCTTGACAACGATAAACACAACCTCCGTGTTCACACTCGTGGCTACCTAGCAGCACTGCTCATGACCAGTTCATAGTTATAATGTTTTTCTGCTGCTGTGGGTAGCAAGAGACATTGACACTCCCTGATGGATGCTGTTGGGAGTTGCATCAAAGTTGCGTTGAGTAGCACCGAGGTTACGTGGAGTTGCACTGAGGAAGTTGCGTGGAGTTGAACGAGACGTCTGCGCTAAGCACAACTGCTGGGGTCCTGTAACATAGAACGTTAGGAGCCCCTCCCCCCTCCCCGATACAAACAAACCCTGTAGTAGTAGCAGCAAGGCAAATTCAAACGCACGGCCAAAAAGGTGTTGGCGGTGTTACCAGGAGGTCCGCTGTCTGAGATTTCCCCGATGATGCCCCAGACATCTGAACTTCCTTCACGGGACGCACGAGAGGGTTTGCGTGGAGTTCGAACCGAGAGAGACGTCTGTGTAAATCGAACTTGGGGATCTTGTGACTGCCTGGATCCACCGATGATCTCTCTTCCCCCTCTTTGACGGCGTCGCGAGGACGCAGGAGACGCGAGGGATTCTGGAAGATAAAACGTCAGGACCCCCCCCCCCCCCCCCAACTCCGACACGAACGCAAAGCCTGAAGTAGTCGTTGATAATGCCAATGGCAACGGCGTTTAACCTCAAGTACAACATCCACGTCGCTCGTTTGGTGAGCAAGGCCGAGGATCGGGCCGGAGACTCGCACGGTTACCTGGGTTGAGAACTCGCCCAGACATCTCTCTCAAAGTTGGGGGTGGCAGGAACGGATGCCAGCGTGTCTGATTCCCCATCACCACCACCATCCGCTCAGCCTTGACAACAATAAAACACAAACTCCATGATGCTCACGCGTGGCTACAGAGCACGGCTCATTGCCATTGATCATAAATAATGCTGCTGCTGCTGCTGCTGTGGGTAGCAAGAGACATTGACACTCCCTGATGGACGCTGTTGGTTGTCTCTGGCTCTCCTGTCCAGGACTGGGATCTCTGCCACGTTGGGGATTCCTTTCGTTGGAGCTGTACCGAGATGTTTCAGAGTAGACACGAGGAAAGATTCTGGAAGACAGATCGTTAGAGACCCCCCCCCCCCAACCAATCCCACCAACTCTGATACGGACTCAAAGCCTGAATTAGACATTGAAAATACGAACGAAAGGCAACGGCGTGGTAACTTTGTTTACCAGGTGTCCCGTTAACTGCCTGGATTCTCCCGACGACGCCCCAGACATCTGCACTTCTTTCACGGGACGCACGAGACGGTTTGCGTGGAGTTCGAACCGAGAGCGACGTCTGTGTAAATCGGACTTGGGGATCTTGTGACTGCCTGGATTCACCGATGATCTCTGTTCCCCCTCTTTGCTGCTGCTGCTGTTGCTATGAGCACGCAGAGACGCAAGGGAGTCTGCAAGACACGGCGTTAACACCCCCCCCCTCCCAGTCCCGCACCTCCGACTCACGACACACGAACACAAATTCCGAAGAAACACAGCGACGTTTGTAACAGCAATGGATTCGTGCCGGAGGATTTATTCCGTAGTCACCAGGTGCCCCAGACAGCGGCCTGGATTCTCCGACGACAACGCCCAGACATCGGCGCACGACAGACACACACTCACACATACTCACACACACACACACACGAGGGTTTGCGCGCAGTTCCAAGCGAGAGCGACGTCCGTGTGAATCAAACTTGGTGGTGCTCCTGCCACCGCCTGGGTTCACCGACGATCCCTCTCTGCTGCTGCTGCTGCCGTCGCGAGCACGCAGGAGACGCGAGGGAGTCTGCAAGACACGGCGTGGACACAGCAACCCTCCCCACCCCCCTTCCTCCTACCCAGCCCCAACTCACGACGTGAGAACGCTAATTCCGTGGCAACGCAACGTTTGTAAAAGCGTAACAGAGTTAAATTTCGATTTAAAGATTTCGTGACTGCAGCAGGGATTCATCTTCTTGGTTCTTTCGGTGAAGTCATCACGTAGAAGGGAAATAATAAAATAATAATAATAAAACAATTAATTAATTCACGACGTTTCGGCCATAACGCATTCAGACTGTCTTCTCGACAGACCTGTTCTCCACCTGAGGACGGCTGCTTGCGTTGTGGCCGAAACGTCGTGAGAATTATTTGATTGTTTTATTTTCATTATTTCCATTCTACGTGATGACTTTACCGAAAGAACCAAGAAGACATAACAGAGTTGTTGTTGTTGTTGTTGGGTTGGATCTCGTGAATATATTAAATGTGTCGTTGAAACCCGCCACCACCCGACACGGCCAATTGGTAAAAAAATGTGTCACGTTGACAAAAAAGAGAGTTCATTACTTTAGCCCGCCGGTGTGTTAAAGAGTGAATCCACATTTACAATCCGAGTAACAGCGACGTTTCGCTGGAAACTACATCCGGCACGTTCGGTGCGATTTGCCAGAATAGTGAAGCCATCCACCTGCTTCTGGTCGTAAACAAACAGTGCAGGATGACGATGTCATCGTCGTTGTTGAACCCCTTCAGGATTCGAGATCAGAGGCAGCGGTGAGGGGCTATGCAACTAAGTAATAGATCAGTAATCAGCCACTTAGCGACACACATGTAAGGCATTGCAATGTGTGTTGTGTATTACTTAATACATTCGGTAAAGTCACGCGGCTTCACCGAAAGACCCAAAGAATATGAATTCCTGGAGCCACTAAAGATTTAAGAAGCTTCCAGGCTGCGCCGAGTCTGTAGCCATCACAGCGGTTGAAATTATTTGAATTCTTCTAGATTTCAATTATCCAACTAATCTTGGCCAGCAATAATTAGTTCCGCATAACGCTTCAACGTTATCAAAATCAATTGAATGCCCTTGTTGGAAAGCAAGCTCTGCAACTTCTGCCAGCTGTGTTTGGGAGAATGTAATGTTCCATTGGTGCTCAAGTACAACATCCACATCGCTCGTTTGGTGAGCAAGGCCGAGGATCGGGCCGGAGACTCGCACGGTTACCTGGGTTGAGAACTCGCCCAGACATCTCTCTCAAAGTTGGGGGTGGCAGGAACGGATGCCAGCGTGTCTGATTCCCCATCACCACCACCACCATCCGCTCAGCCTTGACAATAATAAACACAACCTCCATGATGCTCACGCGTGGCTACAGAGCACGGCTCATTGCCATTGATCATAAATAATGCTGCTGCTGCTGCTGTGGGTAGCAAGAGACGTTGACACTCCCTGATGGACGCTGTTGGTTGTCTCTGGCCCCTCCTGTTCAGGACTGGGATCTCTGCCCCGTTGGGGCTTCCTTTCGTTGGAGCTGTACCGAGATGTTTGACGTTTGAGCGAGAGTAGACCAGGGAGAGGTTTCTGGAAGATAAACCGTTAGGACACCCCCCCCCCCCAACCGATTCCCAGCTGTGATGCGAACGCAGTGGCCTGAAATAATAAATAGAGCTGTAGATGACCGACGTATTAACTTGTTATGTATTGTGATTATAGCGCGCTGCTACTGCTATTGTTAATCCGGCTGTCATGGATTGACTTATGCAGCTAGCCAAGGATGCTACGTTTAGATGTGTGTTGTGTCTGTAGCTATTGTAAACTTTCAATCACATTTGTTGGGAAAACTGTTACTACAACGTAAGTTTTAGAGGGGATTGGTTTGGCCCGATTTTTTTGATTTAGTATAGATTTACAGATTTTTTTTTATCTGTATTGTAGTAGGATTGTTATTGGGATCAAACAGAAATGGAATTTTTTGCACTTTCTGTATGCACAAAGGATGGGTTGTGCTTTTTCTGTAGCATTTCATTGTTTACATAATGCGATGTTCAGATTTGCGTACAATTAATTTTAGGTGTATCTTGTCATTTTAATGTTTGTTGCGGTTGACACCCAAATCAAGAGCCGAATGGCTCACAGGGCAAAACCTAATGAATGAAACTGAAACAAATAAAATAACAAAAACTCACGTTTCAAAAAGCGATAGATTTGGGCAGAGAAGATTTGTGGTGTTTACCAGGTGCCACGGAAACCGGCCCGAATTCTCCGCGACGAAGCCCAGACACCATCACGGGACGCACGAGAGGGTTTGCGTGGAGTTCAAACCGAGAGAGACGTCTGTGTAAATGGGACTTGGGGATCTTGCGACTGCCTGGATTCACCGATGATCTCTCTTCCCGCTCTTTGCCGGCGTCGCGAGGACACAGAAGCGAGGTAGTCTGGAAGATAAAACGTCAGGACCCCCCCCCCCCCCCCCAACTCCGATACGAACGCAAAGCCTGAAGTAGTCGTTGATAATGAGAATGGCAACGGCGTTTAACCTCAAGTAAAACATCCACATCGCTCGTTTGGTGAGCAAGGCCGAGGATCGGGCCGGAGACTCGCACGGTTACCTGGGTTGAGAACTCGCCCAGACATCTCTCTCAAAATTGGGGGTGGCAGGAACGGATGCCAGCGTGTCTGATTCCCCATCACCACCACCACCACCATCCGCTCAGCCTTGACAATAATAAAACACAACCTCCATGATGCTCACGCGTGGCTACAGAGCACGGCTCATTGCCATTGATCATAAATAATGCTGCTGCTGCTGCTGTGGGTAGCAAGAGACATTGACACTCCCTGATGGACGCTGTTGGGTGTCTCTGGCCCCTCCTGTCCAGGACTGGGTTGTAACAGCGGCAGGGGGTTGCGCATCTCCCATTCCGCCCATCGCCACCACCGTCATCCGCTCAGCCTTGACAACGATAAACACAACCTCCGTATGTCCACGTGTGGGCTACACAGCCAAGGCTCATTGCCATCGATAAATAAAGTTGCTGTGCGGGAAGGACAAGAGTCATTGACACTCCCTGGTGGATGGTAATGGCCGTACGGCTTCTCCCCCCTTCCACCCAGGGCTGGGTTGGTGTTGCACAGCAGTGCTGCTGCTTGCTCTGTGCGTCAGCTTGCGTTTCACATTCACCACCACCACCTGCCGAGCCTTGACAACGATAAACACAACCTCCGTGTTCACACTCGTGGCTGCCTAGCAGCACTGCTCACGACCAGTTCATAGTAATAATATTGATGCTGCTGCTGTGGGTAGCAAGAGACATTGACACTCCCTGATGGACGCTGTTGGAGTTGCATCAAAGTTGCGTTGAGCAGCAGAGACCGTGTGGAGATCCAGTAAGAAAGTTGCGTGGAGTTGAACGAGACGTCTGCGCTAGGGACAACTGCTGGGGTCCTGTAACATAGAACGTTAGGAGCCCCCCCCCCCCACCAACAAACCCTGTAGTAGTAGCAGCAAGGCAAATTCAAACGCACGGCCAAAAGGTGTTGGCGGTGTTACCAGGAGGTCCGCTGGCTGGGTTCTCACGACGACGCCCCAGACATCTGAACTTCCTTCACGGGACGCACGAGAGGGTTTGCGTGGAGTTGGAACCGAGAGAGACGTCTGTGTAAATGGGACTTGGGGATCTTGCGACTGCCTGGATTCACCGATGATCTCTCTTCCCCCTCTTTGCCGGCGTCGCGAGAACGCAGGAGACGCGAGGGAGTCTGGAAGATAAAACGTCAGGAACCCCCCCCCCCCCAACTCCGATACGAACGCAAAGCCTGAAGTAGTCGTTGATTATTCTGGTCTGCTGGCACTTTGCACCAGACTCCACTCCCGATCCTCACTCCAAACTCCACTCCAGATCCTGATCCAAACTCCACTCCTGATCCTCACTCCAAACTCCACTCCTGATCCTCACTCCAAACTCCACTCCTGATCCTCACTCCAAACTCCACTCCTGATCCTCACTCCAAACTCCACTCCAGATCCTGATCCAAACTCCACTCCTGATCCTCACTCCAAACTCCACTCCAGATCCTCACTCCAAACTCCACTCCTGATCCTCACTCCAAACTCCACTCCTGATCTTCGCTCCAAACTCCACTCCAGATCCTCACTCCAAACTCCACTCCTGATCCTCACTCCAAACTCCACTCCAGATCCTCACTCCAAACTCCACTCCAGATCCTCACTCCAAACTCCACTCCAGATCCTCACTCCAGACTCCACTCCTGATCTTCACTCCAGACTCCACTCCTGATCCTCGCTCCAAACTCCACTCCAGATCCTGATCCTCGCTCCAAACTCCACTCCAGATCCTGATCCTCGCTCCAAACTCCACTCCAGATCAAGACTCCAATCCACTGCTGATCCTCGCTCCATAATCCACTCCTGATCACCACCACCACCACAACCATCCACAAGGCGATGATGGAGAGACACGCGAGGGTTTGCGTGCGTAAAATCAGTGCTGGGCTCCTGTAACCGCCCGGATTCGCCCATCAACTCTGTCAACTCTCTCGCTCTTCCCCCCACCCCGTTGCAGTTCTTGCTGTGAGCACGCAGGAGACGCGAGTCTGCAAGACACGGCGTTAACACAACACCCACCCCCCCTTCCCCGCCCCGTCAACTCCCGACATACGAACACAAATAAAATAACAAAAACTCACGTGTGAAAAATTAACCCGTAAAAACAAAGTTTTTCACTATAAATCCTTTATATGCGTGGCGGCTAGAGTCCTCTCGTCCTCTGGCTTGAGATGGCTGCCACCTATGGGTCAGATGATTGCCTGCCACCATTAAGCAATTGGTAATTAAATATAATAAAAAATATTTTTCCCTATAAAGGTGTAAAATTACGGAAATTTTTTTCACGAACATAAATTGTCTCGCACAACGAGTCTGTGTGCAAAATGTCAGCCCGATTGGATCACGGAAAGTGGGTTAAAAAACGACCGAAAGATTTGCACTGTCGTAAGCGCGCAAGCAAGCGAACTTAATATAAAGGATTTAAAAAAGCGATAGATTTGGGCAGAGAAGATTTGTGGTGTTTACCAGGTGCCACGGAAACCGGCCCAAATTCTCCGCGACGAAGCCCAGACACCTTCACGGGACGCACGAGAGGGTTTGCGTGGAGTTGGAACCGAGAGAGACGTCTGTGTAAATGGGACTTGGGGATCTTGCGACTGCCTGGATTCACCGATGATCTCTTTCTTTGCCGGCGTCGCGAGGACGCAGGAGACACGAGGGAGTCTGGAAGATAAAAAGTCAGGACCCCCCCCCCCCCCAACTCCGATACGAACGCAAAGCCTGAAGTAGTCGTTGATAATGCCAATGGCAACGGCGTTTAACCTCAAGTAGAACATCCACATCGCTCGTTTGGGGAGCAAGGCCGAGGATCGGGCCGGAGACTCACACGGTTACCTGGGTTGAGAACTCGCCCAGACATCTCTCTCAAAGTTGGGGGTGGCAGGAACGGATGCCAGCGTGTCTGATTCCCCATCACCACCACCCGCTCAGCCTTGACAACAATAAAACACAACCTCCATGATGCTCACGCGTGGCTACAGAGCACGGCTCATTGCCATTGATCATAAATAATGCTGCTGCTGCTGTGGGTAGCAAGAGACATTGACACTCCCTGGTGGATGGTAATGGCCGTACGGCTTCTCCCCCCTTCCACCCAGGGCTGGGTTGGTGTTGTACAGCAGTGCGGCTGCTTGCTCTGTGCGTCAGCTTGCGTTTCACATTCACCACCACCACCACCTGCCGAGCCTTGACAACGATAAACACAACCTCCGTGTTCACACTCGTGGCTACCTAGCAGCACTGCTCACGACCAGTTCATAGTAATAATGTTGCTGCTGCTGTGGGTAGTAAGAAACATGGACACTCCCTGGTGGACGCTGTTGGAGTTGCATCAAGGTTGCGTTGAGCAGCAGAGACCGTGTGGAGATCCAGTTAGAAAGTTGCGTGGAGTTGAACGAGACGTCTGCGCTAAGCACAACTGCTGGGGTCCTGTAACATAGAACGTTAAGAGCCCCTCCCCCCTCCCCGATACAAACAAATCCTGTCGTAGTAGTAGCAGCAAGGCAAATTCAAACGCACGGCCAAAGGAGTTGCGGTGTTACCAGGAAGTCCGCTGTCTGGGTTTCCCCGATGATGCCCCAGACATCTGAACTTCCTTAACGGGACGCACGAGAGGGTTTGCGTGGAGTTCAAACCGAGAGAGACGTCTGTGTAAATGGGACTTGGGGATCTTGCGACTGCCTGGATTCACCGATGATCTCTCTTCCCCCTCTTTGCTGGCATCGCGAGGACGCAGGAGACGCGAGGGATTCTGGAAGATAAACGTCAGGACCCCCCCCCCAACTCCGATACAAACGCAAAGCCTGAAGTAGTCGTTGATAATGCCAATGGCAACGGCGTTTAACCTCAAGTACAACATCCACATCGCTCGTTTGGTGAGCAAGGCCGAGGATCGGGCCGGAGACTCGCACGGTTACCTGGGTTGAGAACTCGCCCAGACATCTCTCTCAAAGTTGGGGGTGGCAGGAACAGATGCCAGCGTGTCTGATTCCCCATCGCCACCACCATCATCATCCGCTCAGCCTTGACAATGATAAACACAACCTCCGTATGTCCACGTGTGGGCTACACAGCCAAGGCTCATTGCCATTGATAAATAAAGTTGCTGTGCGGGAAGGACAAGAGTCATTGACACTCCCTGGTGGATGGTAATGGCCGTACGGCTTCTCCCCCCTTCCACCCAGGGCTGGGTTGGTGTTGTACAGCAGTGCGGCTGCTTGCTCTGTGCGTCAGCTTGCGTTTCACATTCACCACCACCACCTGCCGAGCCTTGACAACGATAAACACAACCTCCGTGTTCACACTCGTGGCTACCTAGCAGCACTGCTCATGACCAGTTCATAGTAATAATGTTGCTGCTGCTGCTGTGGGTAGCAAGAGACATTGACACTCCCTGATGGACGCTGTTGGGTGTCTCTGGCCCCTCCTGTCCAGGACTAAGATCTCTGCCCCGTTGGGGCTTCCTTTCGTTGGAGCTGTACCGAGATGTTTCAAAGTAAACACGAGGAAAGATTCTGGAAGACAGAACGTTAGAGACCCCCCTCCCCCCCACCCTGATACAAACACAAGGACTGATCTGATCCCATCCTTAAAGGATGTCATTCTTGACTCACAGTACCCTGGTGTCTACAAACCGAGTAGCATTTGTGGTGATTGTTAGATCAATATTATTGCGACTGCCTGGATTCACCGATGATCTCTTCCCTCTCTTTGCTGGCCTTGCGAAGACACAGGAGATGCTAAGGAATCTGGAAGACACGGTGTTAAGACCCCCCCCCCCCCAACTCCGATACAAACACAAGGCCTGTAGCAGCAGTAGCAGCGAGGCAAATGTGAACGTCAAAGTGTTGACGGTGTTACCGGGTCCCGTTAACCGCCTGGAATGGCCGATGACAGAGGAGCAATTTGTGCTTCCTTCCCTGTTGCTCTCCCCCCTTGTACGATGTCGCGAGGTTGCTTGGGAGTTGCACAGAGAACGCGTGGAGTTGCACTGAAGTTGCGAGGAGTTGGAGGAAGGTTGCGTGAAGGTGTTCTGAGGTTACGTAGAGTTGCAGCGAGGTAACGTGGAGTTGGATTGAGGTTGTGTGGAGGAGTTGGAGCAAGGTTGAATGAAATTGTTCTGAGGCGACGTGGAGTTGCACCGAGTTGCCTGGAGTTGCAGCAAGGTTGCGTGGAGTTGCACTGAGGAAGTTGCGTGGAGTCGAACGAGACGTCTGCGCTAGGCACAACTGCTGGGGTCCTGTAACATAGAACGTTAGGAGCCCCTCCCCCCTCCCCCACCCCAGACCCACAAGGGCCAACACTGCACACCGCTTGCTAGCAATGTCACCATCAACGCCCTTTGCTGGCTTAGGGAAATATTCAGGACGGCCGTAAGAAAACACCGATTTCAATCCACCAGAGGAACCTCCGTTGCCAGTAGCAGAATACAATTGGATTTTTACCCTTTTATCTGGAAACAAAACTGACACTTTTTTTGCGCCTTTTGGCATCATTAAGTCCAACACCAGGTGAGACTAGGCTCTTAAGAATAGCTGTCTCGGGTGTGGACTAATCAATTTCAAGGACAGTGCATACATTATCAGAGTTATGTTTTTTGTTTGCATTTCAACCGCAGGTAGTGGTCAATGCAAACACGACTCCTTGCAAAAAAGGTGTCAGTTTTGTTGCCAGATAGAAGGGTAAAAAAACAATTATCAATGATTTCAATCTTCAAGTCACATTACTTAAACTTCACGCTGTGGTCATTTGCTAATAAAGGTGTCAAGTTTTGCCTCGTTTAAAACTTTCACAAAGTCCTGCCGACAACTTTCCCCGCGTGGCCGATTACAAAATAAAACGTCAACAAACCTCAAAATAGACATCCACATCGCTCGTTTGGTGAGCAAAGCCGAGGATCGGGCCGGAGACTCGCACGGTTACCTGGGTTGAGAACTCGCCCAGACATCTCTCTCAAAATTGGGGGTGGCAGGAACGGATGCCAGCGTGTCTGATTCCCCATCACCACCACCACCACCATCATCCGCTCAGCCTTGACAATAATAAAACACAACCTCCATGATGCTCACGCGTGGCTACAGAGCACGGCTCATTGCCATTGATCGTAAATAATGCTGCTGCTGCTGCTGTGGGTAGCGAGAGACATTGACACTCCCTGATGGATGCTGTTGGGAGTTGCATCAAAGTTGCGTTGAGTAGCACCGAGGTTACGTGGAGTTGCACTGAGGAAGTTGCGTGGAGTTGAACGAGACGTCTGTGCTAAGCACAACTGCTGGGGTCCTGTAACATAGAACGTTAGGAGCCCCTCCCCCCTCCCCGATACAAACAAACCCTGTAGTAGCAGCAGCAAGGCAAATTCAAACGCACGGCCAAAAAGGTGATGGCGGTGTTACCAGGAGGTCCCGCTGTCGGGGTTTTCCCGATGATGCCCCAGACATCTGAACTTCCTTCACGGGACGCACGAGAGGGTTTGCGTGGAGTTCAAACCGAGAGAGACGTCTGTGTAAATGGGACTTGGGGATCTCGCGACTGCCTGGATTCACCGATGATCTCTCTTCCCGCTCTTTGCCGGCGTCGCGAGGACGCAGGAGACGCGAGGGATTCTGGAAGATAAAACGTCAGGACCCCCCCCCCCCCCCAACTCCGATACGAACGCAAAGCCTGAAGTAGTCGTTGATAATTTAAATGGCAACGGCGTTTTAACTTTACCAGGTGTCCCGTTAACGGCCTGGATTCTCCCGACGACGCCCCAGACATCTGCACGCCCTCCACTCCGCTTGCGCAACACGAAGCCGCGTGGAGTTGAACCGAGACATCGAGACGCAGACCTGGCTCCCTGTCCCGTCACTGCCTGGGGTCTCTGCCCCGTTGGGGCTTCCTTGGTTTGGAGCTGTACAGAGATGTTTGAGCGAGAGTAGACCGGGGAGAGGATTCTGGAAGACAGAACGTTAGAGACCCCCCCCACTCCCCCTGATACAAACACAAGGCCTGTAGCAGCAGCAGCAAGGCAAATGTGAACGTCAAAGTGTTGACGGTGTTACCGGGTCCCGTTAACCGCCTGGAATGGCCGATGACAGAGGAGCAATTTGCGCTTCCTTCCCTGTTGCTCTCCCCCCTCGTACGATGTCGCGAGGTTGCTTGGGAGTTGCACAGAGAACGCGTGGAGTTGCACTGAAGTTGCGAGGAGTTGGAGCAAGGTTGCGTGAAGGTGTTCTGAGGTTACGTAGAGTTGCAGCGAGGTAACGTGGAGTTGGACAGAGAACGTGTGGAGGTGAGGAGTTGGAGCAAGGTTGAATGAAAATGTTCTGAGGTTACGTGGAGTTGAACCGAGTTGCCTGGAGTTGCAGCGAGGTTGTGTGGAGTTGCACTGAGGAAGTTGCGTGGAGTTGAACGAGACGTCTGCGCGAGGCACAACTGCTGGGGTCCTGTAACATAGAACGTTAGGAGCCCCTCCCCCCTCCCCCCCTCCCCGATACAAACAAATCCTGTAGTAGCAGCAGCAAGGCAAATTCAAACGCACGGCCAAAAAGGTGTTGGCGGTGTTACCAGGAGGTCCGCTGTCTGAGATTTCCCCGATGACGCCCCAGACATCTGAACTTCCTTAACGGGACGCACGAGAGAGTTTGCGTGGAGTTGGAACCGAGAGAGACGTCTGTGTAAATGGGACTTGGGGATCTTGCGACTGCCTGGATCCACCGATGATCTCTCTTCCCGCTCTTTGCCGGCGTCGTGAGGACGCAGGAGACGCGAGGGATTCTGGAAGATAAAACGTCAGGACCCCCCCCCCCCCCCCAACACGAACGCAAAGCCTGAAGTAGTCGTTGATAATGCCAATGGCAACGGCGTTTAACCTCAAGTAAAACATCCACGTCGCTCGTTTGGTGAGCAAGGCCGAGGATCGGGCCGGAGACTCACACGGTTACCTGGGTTGAGAACTCGCCCAGACATCTCTCTCAAAAGTTGGGGGTGGCAGGAACGGATGCCAGCGATTCACCATCACCACCACCATCATCCGCTCAGCCTTGACAACGATAAACACAACCTCCGTATGTCCACGTGTGGGCTACACAGCCAAGGCTCATTGCCATTGATAAATAAAGTTGCTGTGCGGGAAGGACAAGAGTCATTGACACTCCCTGGTGGATGGTAATGGCCGTACGGCTTCTCCCCCCTTCCACCCAGGGCTGGGTTGGTGTTGTACAGCAGTGCGGCTGCTTGCTCTGTGCGTCAGCTTGCGTTTCACATTCACCACCACCACCACCTGCCGAGCCTTGACAACGATAAACACAATCTCCGTGTTCACACTCGTGGGCTAAAGAGCCAAGGCCCATCACCATTGATAAACAATTATAAATGTTGCCGTGTGGCTGTAAAGCACGAAGCGTTAAGGACACTCCCTGGTGGTGGCAAAGATTCTCGCCCCGCTCCTTCCACGGCTGGTTTACTTTGTGCCGATTTGTACAGCAGTCGGGGGTTGAGTTCCTCACATTCTCCACCCATCGCCACCATCACCCGCTCAGCCTTGACAACGATAAACACAGCTCCACGTTCACACCTGGCTGGCGAAGCCAACTCATGACCCATTGAGAATAACGCATGCAGAGTGAGGCGAGTCAAAGGGCACTCCCTGGTTGTGGCGGTGTCATGGGGCTTGCTGTGGTGTCTCTTCTTCCCCTACTGCAGGGCTGGGCTTGTTGTACAGGGTAGGTAGGTAGGGCTGGACGTTTGACTAGGTTCTGTAACAGAGAACGTGAAAGGCCCCCCTCAAGATTTCTGGCAAGCCACAGCAACGGACAGATTCGTAAACGGGTGTGTGGGGGGAGACCTTTGGTTTACCCAGACCACGAGGCACGAGACGTCTCACCGCCTGGGCTACGGAGACGCAAGCTCTGCTCAGCGGGAAGGAGATGGGGGGGGGAAGAGAAACTTCTGGAAGACATTTGGTTAAGGACAACCCCCCCGCCCACCCAATGCCTTCTTCCATGCACACAGCACTTTGCACCACGTGGGGTAAAATTGCATGTGGGAGGAGTGGGACGAGTGGTTTACCGCACAGCCTGCGCCACCCACACATAGGAGGACGATGGCCGGTCGGTGGAGCTTGGTATAGAACGCCAGCAGCCAGCGAGCGGCTACAAAACGCGCACACGGGGGAGGAGGGTGCAGGGCAGACGGAGCAGCTGTGTGAGCTTCCTGTGGCTGGGCAGCAGAGGGCAGTGACGGTGGCCGATTCAGTAGCAGTGCAGAGGCGGTGATGGTGGCTGGGCAGTGCAGAGGCGGTGATGGTGGCTGGGCAGTGCAGAGGCGGTGACGGTGGCTGGGCAGTGCAGAGGCGGTGATGGTGGCTGGGCAGTGCAGAGGCGGTGATGGTGGCTGGGCAGTGCAGAGGCGGTGACGGTGGCTGGGCAGTGCAGAGGCGGTGATGGTGGCTGGGCAGTAATGGTGGCTGGGCAGTGCAGAGGCGGTGATGGTGGCTGGGCAGTGCAGAGGCGGTGACGGTGGCTGGGCAGTGGAGAGCGGTGATGGTGGCTGGGCAGTGATGGTGGCTGGGCAGTGGAGAGCGGTGATCGTGGCTGGGCAGCAGAGGGCGGTGACGGTGGCAGAGCAGTGGCAGGCGGTGACAGTGGAGCTGTGACAGTAGCAGCGTTGCGACGGGTTACTGAGTGTGATATTTGTGACCCGACGATTGATTTCACGCCGGCAAGGAGCCGCCCGTGCGAGCGAGCCCGGTGCATCTGCGTCCCCGACCCCGACCCTCTGCTTCACACGTCTCCTGGACAATGCCCCCTTCCCCCTCGGGCAATCTGCGCAAAAGATCAGGCCGACAAGAGTTGCTGTTGGTCGCTTCGCAATGCTCCCCCAGCCTTGCCCTCTCCAAGTCTCTTAAGCGGTGCGCAATTTCCACGTTCGTAAAAAAGTCAATTGTTAAATCTTTCCCCAAGAGGGGGGGCTGCCTCCCTTCAAGAAGCACTTGAGGAAGCAAGTCGAGTTTGGAAAATTTCACTTGAAATTCCTCCACAATTTGTCGAGCGTTCATTGTCCAATCGTTAATTTCCCCGAAGCCTTCCAGACTTCACGCGTGCCGGGGTTTTGACGTTGCCAAACTGACGTGAAGTGGCCGCGATGACTCGGGATGATAGAGTTTGTTTCATAGAGACATTTCATCCCAGCAATTAAAAAAAAAATCTCCGCAAATTCATCCTCCATTTTTAAACGTTTCACGAGCAGCGAACAGAACCTTTTGACAGGCGGTCTTTGCCCCGTTGGGGCTTCCTTTCTTTGGAGCTGTACCGAGATGTTTCAGAGTAGACACGAGGAAAGATTCTGGAAGACAGAACGTTAGAGACCCCCCCCCCCCAACCAACCCGCCCCAAGCAATCCCACCCCAACTCTGATACGGACTCAAAGCCTGAATTAGACATTGAAAATACGAACGAATGGGAACGGCGTTTTAACTTTACCAGGTGTCCCGTTAACGGCCTGGATTCTCACGACGACGCCCCAGACATCTGCACGCCCTCCACTCCGCTTGCGCAACACGAAGCCGCGTGGAGTTGAACCGAGACATCGAGACGCAGACCTGGCTCCCTGTCCCGTCACTGCCTGGGGTCTCTGCCCCGTTGGGGCTTCCTTTCGTTGGAGCTGTACCGAGATGTTTGACGTTTGAGCGAGAGTAGACCGGGGAGAGGATTCTGGAAGAGAAACCGTTAGGACACCCACCCCCCCCCCCCCCCAAACACACCCCCAGCTGCGATGCGAACGCAGTAGCAACATCTGCAGTGAAAACAAACTTGGGCAAAAGAGTCGCGCTGTTGCCAGCTGCCACGGAAACCGGCCTGAATTCTCCATGACGAAGCCCAGACACCTTTACGGGACGCACGAGAGGGTTTGCGTGGAATTCGAACCGAGAGAGACGTCTGTGTAAAATCGGACTTGGGGATCTTGCGACGGCCTGGATTCACCGATGATCTCTCTTCCCGCTCTTTGCCGGCGTCGCGAGGACGCAGGAGACGCGAGGGATTCTAGAAGATAAAACGTCAGGACCCCCCCCCCCCCCAACTCCGATACGAACGCAATACCTGAAGTAGCCGTTGATGCCAATGGCAACGGCGTTTAACCTCAAGTAAAACATCCACATCGCTCGTTTGGTGAGCAAGGCCGAGGATCGGGCCGGAGACTCGCACGGTTACCTGGGTTGAGAACTCGCCCAGACATCTCTTTCAAAGTTGGGGGTGGCAGGATCGGATGCCAGCGTGTCTGATTCCCCATCACCACCACCACCATCATCCGCTCAGCCTTGACAATAATAAAACACAACCTCCATGATGCTCACGCGTGGCTACAGAGCACGGCTCGTTGCCATTGATCATAAATAATGCTGCTGCTGCTGCTGCTGTGGGTAGCAAGAGACATTGACACTCCCTGATGGACGCTGTTGGGTGTCTCTGGCCGCTCCTGTCCAGGACTGGGTTGTCACAGCGGCAGGGAGTTGCGCATCTCCCATTCCGCCCATCGCCACCGCCGCCGTCATCCGCTCAGCCTTGACAACGATAAACACAACCTCCGTATGTCCACGTGTGGGCTACACAGCCAAGGCTCATTGCCATCGATAAATAAAGTTGCTGTGCGGAAAGTACAAGAGTCATTGACACTCCCTGGTGGATGGTAATGGCCGTACAGCTTCTCCCCCCTTCCACCCAGGGCTGGGTTGGTGTTGTACAGCAGTGCGGCTGCTTGCTCTGTGCGTCAGCTTGCGTTTCACATTCACCACCACCACCTGCCGAGCCTTGACAACGATAAACACAACCTCCGTGTTCACACTCGTGGCTACCTAGCAGCACTGCTCACGACCAGTTCATAGTAATAATGTTGCTGCTGCTGCTGTGGGTAGCGAGAGACATTGACACTCCCTGATGGACGCTGTTGGTTGTTTCTGGCCCCTCATGTCCAGGACTGGGTTGTCACAGCGGTAGGAGGCTGCATATCTGGCTCCCTGTCCCGTCACTGCCTGGAGCTGTACCGAGATGTTTGATTTGAGCGAGAGTAGAACATGGAGAGGATTCTGGAAGACAGAACGTTAGGACACACACCCCCCCTAACCCACCCCCAGCTGCGATGCGAACGCAGTAGCAACGTCTGTAGTGAAAACAAACATGGGCAAAAGAGTTGCGCTGTTACCAGGTTCCATGCAAACTGCCTGGATTCTCCCGACGACGCCCCAGACATCTCAACTTCCTTCACGGGACGCACGAGAGGGTTTGCGTGAAGTTCGAACCGAGAGAGACGTCTGTGTAAATCGGACTTGGTGATCTTGCGAATGCCTGGATTCACCGATGATCTCTTCTTTGCTGGAGTTGCGAGGACGCAGGGGATTCTGGAAGATAAAACGTCAGGACCCCCCCCCCCCCAACTCCGATACGAACGCAAAGCCTGAAGTAGTCGTTGATAATGCCAATGGCAACGGCGTTTTAACTTTACCAGGTGTCCCGTTAACGGCCTGGATTCTCCCCACGACGCCCCAGACATCTGCAAGCCCTCCACTCCGCTTGCGCAACACGAAGCCGCGTGGAGTTGAACCGAGACATCGAGACGCAGACCTGGCTCCCTGTCCCGTCACTGCCTGGGATCTCTGCCCCGTTGGGGCTTCCTTGGTTTGGAGCTGTACCGAGATGTTTGACGTTTGAGCGAGAGTAGACCAGGGAGAGGATTCTGGAAGACAGAACATTAGAGAACCCCCCCCCCCACAAACACAAGGCCTGTAGCAGCAGTAGCAGCAAGGCAAATGTGAACGTCAAAGTGTTGACTGTGTTACCGGGTCCCGTTAACCGCCCGGAATGGCCGATGACAGAGGAGCAATTTGCGCTTCCTTCCCTGTTGCTCTCCCCCCTTGTACGATGTCGCGAGGTTGCTTGGGAGTTGCACAGAGAACACGTGGAGTTGCACTGAAGTTGCGAGGAGTTGGAGCAAGGTTGCGTGAAGGTGTTCTGAGGTTACGTAGAGTTGCAGCGAGGTAACGTGGAGTTGCACAGAGAACGTGTGGAGGTGAGGAGTTGGAGCAAGGTTGCGTAAAATTCTTCTGAGGCGACGTGGAGTTGGACCGAGTTGCCTGGAGTTGCACCGAGGTTACGAGAAGTTGCACTGAGGAAGTTGCGTGGAGTTGAACGAGACGTCTGCGCTAGGCACAACTGCTGGGGTCCTGTAACATAGAACGTTAGGAGCCCCTCCCCCCGCCCCCCCCCAGATACAAACAAATCCTGTCGTAGTAGCAGCAAGGCAAATTGAAACGCACGGCCAAAGGAGCTGCGGTGTTATCAGTCTAAGACACGGCAACCCTCCCCCCTCCTCCTACCCAGCCACAACTCCCAACATGAGAACACTAATTCTGTAGCAACGCGACGTTTGTAAAAGCGTAATAGAGTTGTTGCTTTTGGGTTGGATCACGTAAATATTTAAAATGTGTCGTTAAAACCCGCCACCACCCGACACGGCCAATTGGGTAAAGTTTGTCGCGTGAACAAAACGTGCCAATTCGTCACTAGTTCTAGCACACGCAAATACGAACGAATGGGAACGGCGTGATAACTTTGTTTACCAGGTGTCCCGTTAACGGCCTGGATTCTCCCGACGATGCCCCAGACATCTGCACGCCCTCCACTCCGCTTGCGCAACACGAAGCCGCGTGGAGTTGAACCGAGACATCGAGACGCAGACCTGGCTCCCTGTCCCGTCACTGCCTGGGATCTCTGCCCCGTTGGGGCTTCCTTGGTTTGGAGCTGTACCGAGATGTTTGACGTTTGAGCGAAAGTAGACCGGGGAGAGGATTCTGGAAGACAGAACGTGAGACACCCACCCCCCCACAAACACAAGGCCTGTAGCAGCAGTAGCAGCAAGGCCCGGAATGGCCGATGACAGAGGAGCAATTTGCGCTTCCTTCCCTGTTGCTCTCCCCCCTTGTACGATGTCGCGAGGTTGCTTGGGAGTTGCACAGAGAACGCGTGGAGTTGCACTGAAGTTGCGAGGAGTTGGAGCAAGGTTGCGTGAAGGTGTTCTGAGGTTACGTAGAGTTGCAGCGAGGTAACGTGGAGTTGGACAGAGAACGTGTGGAGGTGAGGAGTTGGAGCAAGGTTGAATGAAAATGTTCTGAGGTTACGTGGAGTTGAACCGAGTTGCCTGGAGTTGCAGCGAGGTTGTGTGGAGTTGCACTGAGGAAGTTGCGTGGAGCTGAACGAGACGTCTGCGCGAGGCACAACTGCTGGGGTCCTGTAACATAGAACGTTAGGAGCCCCTCCCCCCTCCCCCCCTCCCCGATACAAACAAATCTTGTAGTAGCAGCAGCAAGGCAAATTCAAACGCACGGCCAAAAAGGTGTTGGCGGTGTTACCAGGAGGTCCGCTGTCTGAGATTTCCCCGATGATGCCCCAGACATCCGAACTTCCTTAACGGGACGCACGAGAGAGTTTGCGTGGAGTTGGAACCGAGAGAGACGTCTGTGTAAATGGGACTTGGGGATCTTGCGACTGCCTGGATCCACCGATGATCTCTCTTCCCGCTCTTTGCCGGCGTCGTGAGGACGCAGGAGACGCGAGGGATTCTGGAAGATAAAACGTCAGGACCCCCCCCCCCCCCCAACACGAACGCAAAGCCTGAAGTAGTCGTTGATAATGCCAATGGCAACGGCGTTTAACCTCAAGTAAAACATCCACGTCGCTCGTTTGGTGAGCAAGGCCGAGGATCGGGCCGGAGACTCACACGGTTACCTGGGTTGAGAACTCGCCCAGACATCTCTCTCAAAAGTTGGGGGTGGCAGGAACGGATGCCAGCGATTCACCATCACCACCACCACCATCATCCGCTCAGCCTTGACAACGATAAACACAACCTCCGTATGTCCACGTGTGGGCTACACAGCCAAGGCTCATTGCCATTGATAAACAAAGTTGCTGTGCGGGAAGGACAAGAGTCATTGACACTCCCTGGTGGATGGTAATGGCCGTACGGCTTCTCCCCCCTTCCACCCAGGGCTGGGTTGGTGTTGTACAGCAATGCGGCTGCCGATTGCTCTGTGCGTCAGCTTGCGTTTCCCATTCACCACCACCACCTGCTGAGCCTTGACAACGATAAACACAATCTCCGTGTTCACACTCGTGGGCTAAAGAGCCAAGGCCCATCACCATTGATAAACAATTATAAATGTTGCCGTGTGGCTGTGAAGCACGAAGAGTTAAGGACACTCCCTGGTGGTGGCAAAGACTCTCGCCCCGCTCCTTCCACGGCTGGTTTACTTTGTGCCGATTTGTACAGCAGTCGGGGGTTGAGTTCCTCACATTCTCCACCCATCGCCACCATCACCCGCTCAGCCTTGACAACGATAAACACAGCTCCACGTTCACACCTGGCTGGCGAAGCCAACTCATGACCCATTGAGAATAACGCATGCAGAGTGAGGCGAGTCAAAGGGCACTCCCTGGTTGTGGCGGTGTCATGGGGCTTGCTGTGGTGTCTCTTCTTCCCCTTCTGCAGGGCTGGGCTTGTTGTACAGGGTAGGTAGGTAGGGCTGGACGTTTGACTAGGTTCTGTAACAGAGAACGTGAAAGGCCCCCCCCACCCCCCCTCAAGATTTCTGGCAAGCCACAGCAACGGACAGATTCGTAAACGGGTGTGTGGGGGGAGACCTTTGGTTTACCCAGACCACGAGGCACGAGACGTCTCACCGCCTGGGCTACGGAGACGCAAGCTCTGCTCAGCGGGAAGGAGATGGGGGGGGGGGGGGGGGGGAGAAACTTCTGGAAGACGTTTGGTTAAGGACAACCCCCCCGCCCACCCAATGCCTTCTTCCATGCACACAGCACTTTGCACCACGTGGGGTAAAATTGCATGTGGGAGGAGTGGGACGATTGCTTTACCGCACAGCCTGCGCCACCCACACATAGGACGATGGCCGGTCGGTGGAGCTTGGTATAGAACGCCAGCAGCCAGCGAGCGGCTACAAAACGCGCACACGGGGGAGGAGGGTGCAGGGCAGACGGAGCAGCTGTGTGAGCTTCCTGTGGCTGGGCAGCAGAGGGCAGTGACGGTGGCCGATTCAGTAGCAGTGCAGAGGCGGTGATGGTGGCTGGGCAGTGCAGAGGCGGTGATGGTGGCTGGGCAGTGCAGAGGCGGTGACGGTGGCTGGGCAGTGCAGAGGCGGTGACGGTGGCTGGGCAGTGCAGAGGTGGTGATGGTGGCTGGGCAGTGCAGAGGCGGTGATGGTGGCTGGGCAGTGCAGAGGCGGTGATGATGGCTGGGCAGTGCAGAGGCGGTGACGGTGGCTGGGCAGTGCAGAGGCGGGTGATGGTGGCTGGGCAGTGCAGAGGCGGTGACGGTGGCTGGGCAGTGCAGAGGCGGTGATGGTGGCTGGGCAGTGATGGTGGCTGGGCAGTGGAGAGCGGTGATCATGGCTGGGCAGTGATGGTGGCTGGGCAGTGGAGAGCGGTGATCGTGGCTGGCAGCAGAGGGCGGTGACGGTGGCAGAGCAGTGGCAGGCGGTGACAGTGGAGCTGTGACAGTAGCAGCGTTGCGACGGGTTACTGAGTGTGATATTTGTGACCCGACGATTGATTTCACGCCGGCAAGGAACCGCCTGTGCGAGCGAGCCCGGTGCATCTGCGTCCCCGACCCTCTGCTTCACACGTCTCCTGGACAATGCCCCACTTCCCCTCGGGCAATCTGCGCAAAAGATCAGGCCGACAAGAGTTGCTGTTGGTCGCTTTGCAATGCTCCCCCAGCCTTGCCCTCTCCAAGTCTCTTAAGCGGTGCGCAATTTCCACGTTCGTAAAAAAAGTCAATTGTTAAATCTTTCCCCAAGAGGGGGGGCTGCCTCCCTTCAAGAAGCACTTGAGGAAGCAAGTCGAGTTTGGAAAATTTCACTTGAAATTCCTCCACAATTTGTCGAGCGTTCATTGTCCAATCGTTAATTTCCCCGAAGCCTTCCAGACTTCACGCGTGCCGGGGTTTTGACGTTGCCAAACTGACGTGAAGTGGCCGCGATGACTCGGGATGATAGAGTTTGTTTCATA